TAATCTAATCATAATAATATGATGACAAATATGATGACCTGTAACATAGTTCGGGAACCAGTGAACATTTTGTCGTATGATTTCAGCAAACTTGATTTATCGTTTGTACTATATCTTAATATTATTTTTATTTTTAAGAATGTTAAAACAGTAGTCTGTCAGCTGGCAGGCAGAATAAGGGTCGATGGAAGCTATAAAAAAAATAGCGTTTTCGTACCATAGCAGCAAAGATGATTTTTTTTCCTATTTATGATATAAAAAGTGATAAAATGACAGTCTGTCATGTCACTTTATCACTTTTTATATTATATATAATAATAAAAAAATAAAAAATCAGCTTTGTTGCTATGACATGAATGTAGTATTTTTTTGACAAAGTAAATGGCTCCTGTCGGCCTCTGCCCCGGAAAGTTAACGGCAAACTTCCGTTTTAGCAATCTTAAACATAAAAAAGATGATAAAATTAATAAATCAAGTACTGAAATGACACGTAAAAAATGTTTATTGTCTTGCGAATTAATGACAAAGTATAAAAGAGGAACAAAACAAACTAATAAATGAGAAGCAATGAATTTGTGTCCATTCTTAATTAATTAAAAATAAGTCACATTTCATGACACACGCTGCATTTTGGTGATATAAAGTATCAAGAATCATTTATTATACAATAAAATATAAATGTGTTACTACAATAATTTTACTGTAATCATAGAAAATTTTATACAATTTATAGTATAGAATTCATATTATACAATTTTTAGCAAACGAGCACCACTCGCTTTCATACCATTATTTTTTCTATACTCAAGTGTTTCAACATTTAATGAATAAACTGCGGAAACATTTTATAAGTAAAAATAAGAAAAAAAATGTTATTTGAAGTTTGACTAGTAATATTTTATTATCAAATTATAAACTAATATTATGAAATCGAACATATTGGTGGCATTTTATCACAATGATGGCAGTTATTATTTCACAAGAATATAAATCTAATAGCTATTCTTTTCGAGTCTAGTTATTATCTCAGAGAACAAATATCATTTATCCACAGATCGAAATGATATTAAATCGTTTAAAGATAGTAAATATGACATGAATATACATACGAGATAAAAACGCGTTCGACCTTTCTATGTAAAACATACTCTTTCATATTCTGCGCAATGGAAAATCCGTGTTTCCTATTTCATGTTCCGTTTCAATACTTATTTATAACTTTGTAATAGAGTATTTTTAACCAAACTTCATATAACATCTTTTTCTTACTTCCACTACCAAAATATGTTCTCACAGTTTGTCTGTTAAATCCTGAAACATTTTGTATATATACATATTCATTACAGCTATTTCAGGTGAAAGTCCTACCTATTTCCATCCTCATTGCTTGGGATAAACTTTGCACATTCCCTCTTTTGAAATGTTGCCTCTATCCAACTACGCTCAGTTGTCTACAATTTGAAAAACATAAGGATACAATAGCTGCAGTCAGAAAAGAAGCAATGTTAACTTGAAATATATTAAAAATCTTTATACAGTGTAATTTCTTGTCAATATTATTATATAAATATATCGTATTAATCATCAAACAATTTCAAAATAAAATTAAGTAAATTATAATAATAGTTCAATTATATATATAAATTAAAACCAAAATTGTATTTTACAAAGTACAATAACACAATGCGTTAATTAAAAAAAAATACCTTAACTTTCTTATTCTTCACTTTTGGAGTATTTACTCCACAGATAATATTTCCAATTGCCATCTTGATGAAATTTGTGTTCACTTTAATTTAAAGCAGTGTTCTAAAGAAAAATAATAGAAAAAAAAAGAAACTAAACAATATAATATGCAGAATATGAGTATTTTTGAATTTATTGCATATAGTAAGATCAGAAAATTTCTAGCTCAAAAAAATAGAAAAAAAGATAATAAAACAGTTATTTTTATTTTCCAATATAATCACTCTATATTTTTTTAAATATATTTTTAAAACAATGAATTAATTTTTCTGTACTATTATAAACATTCTAAATTTTTATTCTTAAATTAATTTAATATTGCAAAGTAAAAAATAATTATTAATTAATTACTTTTATTTTTCAAATTGAAAATAAAAGTGAGAGATTTGAAATAAAATTCGACTTGCATGCAAAAAAATTTATCAGTAATAAAGAATGATTTCGACAGTATTACAAATAATTTTAAAGAAAAATATTTGGAATATTATTATAGTAATATGGTAAAAAATAAAAAATAATTATTAAAACAAATTAAAGTAGTTGTTATTTTAAACTATCTTTTTATCTGGAAATTTAAACTTTATTGTACCTTGTATATCGAACTTTACACAGATTATTGTAAATGTTATGTGAATTTAGATTTGGAATAAACCATATAATTATAGCGTAGTTCAAAGAATGAACGAATTAATAAAATTTGTATATATGTATAATGAAAATAAAATCTCTACTAAAATTTGATTACTAATACTTTCTGCATAAATTATAAGATTAGTTTTCAATTACACATTCACATATAACTGTATAATTAAATCATATAAATCATATTATTAACAAAATTAAATAAATTTAACACTTAATAAGAAAATAAATTAAAATATTAATGCAAAATAAAATAATTAGTACAATTACAAGTTTAAATTTCCGTAATCTATAATTTTTTGAAATGCATTTATTACTTACCAATCGACAGGATTTGTTTTTAACAATCATCTTTGACAATCAGAAAAACGTAAGTCGTGCTAAAAGAAATATTGTATCTGAAACGCAATCACGATTATTACAACTGTGTCGGAGTTATATCATAATCTTGTTACATTCTATTTTGACAAACCAAGCTGAAAAAATTCATTAGTTTATTAACCCTTACCATACTAATATGGGTAACTAGTGACCGAGCAATTCCTGTTCGTGCAAGTTTCTTTGAGTCTTTTGATAATTATAAATTATACTACATTTTATTATTTTCCAAAATAAAAAGTCAATATTTATTCTAGAAAGTTGAAAATATGTTGGTGAATTTTTAGAGATTTTTAAAATTATTTTAAAGAGGTAAAAAAAAACGAAAAGATTTGAAGTGACCCTTGATGGTATAGATGAGGCACCAAATTGTAGATGGTACAGTAAGAGTTAAAAATCATAAAAATTTTTACTCTAGAAAAAAAATGTAATTAAAAATTTCATCGTTTTATGATAGATGGAATAAATGGAATTTCCGAAGGCAGGCACCGAGATACACTTACATATTACTTAAACAAAAAGCATGCAAGCGACGCGAACAAGGTATAATTTAATGCATCATAAATAAAAAATATTGGGGAGTTAAATAAATTGTACTAGTTAAATCTTACCTTCATTGAAATTTTTGAATAAAACATTCCTTTTAAAGATGACACACAGATACGACGCTAGTAATATTGCTTCAGTATTGTCATTTTTGTTTTGTCCTTGAGCCGTCTGTTTACGAATAACATTCAAAATTGATTTTGTTTGGTGTTCTATGTAAGCTTTCATATAATTTACCTAAGGTGTGATCAGCACAAAGCGAGTAATTAAAGCTTAGTATACTACAAGATTATAATTAATATTTAAACTCTTGGAATATAATATCGAAGTATCATATTAATTAAAAGATGCCTTCGGATGAAGGCGAATTATAATGTCTCTTGTCGCTTCACACAGTACTTTGACAGAGGATTCCGTCGTGCTGATATGTATTAACATGTATCACACTGTTTTACCCATGTTTTTATAATAAAGTAAGTCTAGGTAAGTTGAAGGTTAGGTTAAAGGTTAAGTTTTAGGTTAGTCTTATGCCTAGTTCAGCTGATGCAGTAAGCGGCAGCCAATCAGCGAGGCAATAATGGTCGCGAATCAGCAGACTCAACTCAAATCGTTGCTATTGGATGTAAAAGAATACACCAAGAAAGAAATTATAATTAATAACAGCCCTGTTGTGTCAATTCTACTAGCCTCTCCGTGATTGATTCAAGAGCTGCGTTCGAAAATATCACTCGGGTGTCTCCGTGTATCATCCTATCCTTGTTTAACAATGAGTGAACAAAGATAATACGATACACGGTGATATTTCTGAACGCAGCCAAGATGTTGTATACTTCTGTGATTGGATCAAGATGTCGTGTATCTCTCTGTTGATTGGACTGGCGTAGGCCTTAGTTTGAGCATGCGTATACTTTGGCAAATTTTTGATAGCAGTTAAAAAGAGTTAGGAGTTAGCAGTCTAATGTAATAAGAAATCTGTGGTTTGATTTAAACGCTGCTTCGTTTTCGGCGGGGTGGGGGAATTTCGCCAGCGAAGCTCGGCTACATGATATCGTGTCTTTAAAGTTTAAAGGGTCTCCAGTTCGGATCCTTTGGTTTGCCCTGGTTGTTGAAATAACGCGAGTGACACATCAAAAGACAGGTTCTTTTTTTATGTGGTTTTGCAATATTATACCTGTTAAAAAATGGCTACTACTAGCGAATATACTAAATTGTTCGTATGCGCGACCGGCATATTTGTGTGCTATTTCTACTTTGGTATGTTACAAGAAAAAATCACACGTGGACAGTACGGTGATGGGGAGAATCGGGAAAAATTTACGTACATGTTTGCACTGGTTTTCGTTCAGTGTCTGGTGAATTACATATTTGCTAAAATGATTTTGCTGACTGTGATGAAACAAGGCGAGGATACTACAAGAACTGTATATTATTCGTTGTCTGCCCTAACATATCTTCTTGCTATGGTGTGCAGTAACATGGCATTACAGTTTGTTAATTATCCGACGCAGGTGATCGGTAAAGCTGGCAAGCCTATACCTGTGATGGTATTAGGTGTATTGTTAGGAAAAAAGGTATGCAATTCAATAAGTCTATGTACCAAGATAGTTTTATACATTGAATTTTTTTGCTATCTTTAATTATCATTTTTTTCTTTACAGATATATCCAATTAGAAAGTACATATTCATTTTCTTGATTGTCGTTGGAGTTGCATTGTTTATGTATAAGGATGGTAATGTTTCTAAAAAGCAAGCAGAGTCACAATTATCAGTTGGAGAATTGTTATTACTATTATCGTTAATGATGGATGGATTAACAAGTGCAGTGCAGGAACGAATGAGAGCTGAACATAACTCAAAGTCAGGACACATGATGCTCAATATGAACTTTTGGTCTGTTATCTTTAGTAGCACAGTGATTCTTATTTCTGGAGAACTTTTGGAATTTATTCGTTTCCTACAAAGATATCCTTCCACCATATGGCATATAACGACATTTTCTATGGCTGGAGCATTTGGACAATATTTTATATTTCTAACTGTAGCTGAATTTGGTCCACTGCCATGCTCAATTATAACCACTACTAGGAAATTTTTTACTGTTTTAGGCTCTATATTAATTTTTGGAAATAATCTTTCTCTTAGGCAATGGTTGAGTACACTTATAGTATTTTTAGGTTTATTTTTGGATGCTATGTATGGTAAAGATAAAAGCAAGAAAGGTACTGTAAAATAGAATGTGATAATTATCTCAACATTTACTTAGATATATATACTTTTTTTTTTGAATCTATACTTCCAGCGTTTAATTATATTATTATAATTTATTATTTATAACACCATAAATATTAGATTTTATAATCGTATATACAAGTTAATAAGATATTATACAAAAAGTTGTTATATTTTCTGTTTATATTTTTTTAAAAGATAAAAGAATCTTTTTGAATGAAAGGGGATTGTGTAATTTTCTCAATTTATACATTAAAGATTAATAAATAATTATAAATTTTAAACAATTATGATAGTTGTAAAGTTTAATTTACATTAAAAATATGTACATATATAATTAAAATATATATGTATACGTATATACTACCGTTCATCGATTTCAAAATTTCCCAGATTTGTTGATTTCTTTGTTAAAGATGAACATGACATATGTTTTTTCCATAGAAATGAGTTTACCTGTTGTTATAAACATCTTCTATTAAGGCAGATCACTTTATGATTCCTTCCTGAGAGTTATTTACGAGACTATTTTACATGCTTTTACAAGAGTTCTTTCAATGTTGAATTGATTTTAGAATAGTAAGTCCGGATCTACAATAGGTGTTTTAAGCCTTTTAAGCCGGAAGAAATTGGCCAACTACAATCGAATGCGAGGAGAATAATTAATTGCGATTCGTCCATTCCGACTTAAGAATAAAGAATAACGATTATAATTCATCAGGAGGCTTATTAGGGGCTCCGCACAATAAAAGGAACAGAGAAAAAGAATTTCAACCTACCAGAAACTGTATATTCCACAATGGGGTGATCCCGATCGACCACGGCTCGATTGGACACCACCAATCACAGTGACCAGTGCTTAGGAGCTTTGTAGTCTCAAGCGCTGTGAGTGGCTCGTGTCCAATTAAGCCGTGTCCAACTGGGTGCCACCCTTCCACAATACATGATTTCTGATAGGTTGAAATTCTTATTCTCTGTTCCCTGTTCCTTTTATTGTGCGGAGCCCCTTACAGTTCTTTACACAAGATGGAAATTATAAAAATGGGCGAACTCACTAGGTGTTAACCAATGAAGTTATAAATATTCTAATAAATTCGATCACTTTCGTAATTTTTACTTCGTTTTAAGGACCGTAATAAACTCCCAGAAATCAGAATACACAAGGTGCTTTCCATTTGATGACACAAGTCGACACAAGCGTTTTTTATCCTTGTTGACATTCAGAGAGTGACAAAGATAGAACAACACTTGTGTCGACTTGTGTCATTAAATGGAAAGCACCCACGATTTCTGATAGATTGAAATTATTATTCCTGCCACCGTATTGTGGCTGCGATGCTGTACCAACCTAGAGTCCTAGATTTATCAGGTGTTGTCTACAATACACGGAGTAAGAAGTAAGAGTAAGAAATTGACCAATCACAGTCGATTATTCTTCTCACATTCGACTGTGATTGGTCAATTTCTTACTCTTCTTACTCCGTGTATTGTAGACGGGCCTTAATAGTAAAACATTATCCAACCCAAATGGGAGCAAATCCGCTCGGGTCGAATACGCTATGTGTTACACTGTGTCATCTGTGTATCTTGCTGGGTACCTATCATAGAACAAGTCGGAATCGATTCCGATCGGAATTATTCAATTATTCCCTAGATTTCTATTGTGTTTTCTAGGGAAAACGGGATAATTCCGATCGGAATCCATTTCGACATATTTCATGATAGGTACCTTGGAAAGCACCCATTATAACGCCATTGTACAGCTCTTTTACGAGTGTATATCAATTGTCCACATCACCAATTGGCTAATTTAAAATAATATAATCTCATTGGTGGAGCAGTGAAAAATTACTAGGAACAGAGCGATGTGAGTGGTGTGTGCAATTGAACAGTGTGCAAGTGCGCCGCTCCCCTCTTGTACTATCATATAGCATCTCTTTTCTGCACGTGACGGTCTTATTCTACGCATCTAATTTGCGCAGGTAGCACTTTTATGGAAATTTAGGGAGTTAGCAGTCTAGTGTAATATTTAGATAGAAGCCTGTGGTATTTATATAGTTGTTTGTGGACTGCGGTTTCGACAGTAGTTAGTATTAGTATCAAACTAGTAGCCGACTCGAGGAAAGACAATCTACATAATAATTTGTTGCAATTATTGAAAGAACACGAGAACACGACGCAGAAAAATGGCGGAACAGAGTGATAGGAGTCAATTACCTCCCGGCTGGGAATGCAGATACGATATTCGCAGCGGTCGTCCGTACGTAAAGTGCACTTTAGAAGTTATCTTTTTATTTTTTTCATTAAAGATAAACAGCTTACTAATAGAGTTCCAAAAATTGTAATCTTTCTATATCAACAAATTCATATTATACGAAACAGTTGTAAATACGTACTTGGTTTTCGATAATTCTTTACGATTCTTGAAATAAATGTACGATCAAATTGTCAAAAAGTAATGAAAAAGATAGCACGGCAGTAGATAATATTCTACATGCATTAATCAAGATGCTTTGTACTTAATAAAATTTCGATTGGACATTTATGATTAACGCATTGACAGTTCTATAAAAATATTTATAGAAAATCGACGTACAGACGGTGCCAGGTATGCCTTAATACCTGAAATTGTACGAGTATTGAGATCACAATCCAAATGCATTATGATCCCAATACTCGTACAATTTCAGGTGTTAAGACATACCTGGCACCGTCTGTACGTAATATTTTTTTTGAAACAATAGATTAGATACTTATAACTGTTAATGGTGATCTTCAGATATTTCATAAATCATTTCAATCGAACTACAACATGGGAAGATCCAAGAGTGAGATATTGGCAGTATTCTCAGTATATACAGTCTCAGAATTCAGTGGCACTGAGTTCGACTACAACTACCACTTCTCAAGATATTCCTATGCAGGTCAGTTGTAATATTATTAGAATAGTAATAGAATTTATATATGCATATGCAACTATAAGTTGTAAAAGTTCACATGTTTCTGAATCAAATGTTAAATGCTTAAAAAATGATACATTATACTTTAAGTTACATAGGTTTTTAAGCTAAAAGATCTTATAATGATTTTTAAAAGATTTTTTTCATCATTTATTGAATAATAAATTTATTTTAATTAAGTATAAAAGTGAAAGAATCAGCTCTGAGAATCGATCTAATAATGAAATAATTAAAATGCCATGTGTGTGTGTGTGTGAAAGATCCTACTATTCCATTTCAATTAAATATCCATGAGTCTCAAATTTTTTCTCCGTGTTTTCAATTTACTCCGTCAATGTGCTGGATATTTACAATGGTCACTCTGTCAAATGACCACTATTTATAACTATCTTTTGGTTAAATTCACATTCATATTTGTACTGTCTTGATGACATGAAGAATTAATACATTATTAGATAGACTTTGATAAGTCCTTGTAACGAAATGATTGTTATAATTTTTTTGTCTTTGTGCTTACAATTAGATATTTATATATTGTCAAATTTTTTTTCAAAGAACATCCAGTACAAACCAAGGTATAAACTAGATATTTATGAAGTGTTCGGTCCTTGGAATCAATTATAATAAATTTACTTAATTTTCTGCTCATATTTAATGTCTAATCATAAATGTGTGATTTGTTTGAAATTTGAAAATTTTGTAATTTCATTTCTGGAAGTAAAGTACATTGTACAAGTATACTTATACAAAAAAGTATACTTATCTTTGCTAGAAACAAAATTTAACAAGTCTAAGCTTCTTAAATTATTTCAAAAAAATTTCTCTTCAAAATATTTAAATATGTATATTTATATTTATATACTTAAAATGATCATATAAGATCTCCAATCATCTATTTCATATGCTTTTATTATTATTAATCCATTTTTGTACTTATTAAGAAAAAATTTATATAGAATCTATTTTATATTTAAAATTTTCTTCCAATTTTTTATTAGGATAGGATAGGACTATTTCTCTCATCAATGTCAATTTTAAAATAATCTGAAAATTGCAGAAAAATTTCTCAATATATCCAATACCCAACACCATTTCAAACATAACTAACTTATTACTGAACATAATGTAACTTTTTATATATACTGAAAAATAACACAACAAAGGAAAACATAAATATCTAACAATAATAAACAATTGATTAAGACCATATATGTGAATACACAGCAACTAAGAATTTAAAGTCTATAACAATCGAAGCTGGATCTTAGACGCTTAAACAATTTCCATGTGAATTTATATATATCACATATGTATTCATTTGAACTGTGCACCGAATTGATTTTTCGGACTTGTAAACACAACTAAACTATTGTAATAATATGACAAATTAAATTGATGAGCAATTTAATAATTTGATGCTCAATCAGGCATCCTATTAGAAAGATATTAATGTGTCAAAAATCTATAAATAAATTTATTGCGAAAAATATTACTTCGGCCGGGAGTCGAACCCGGATCTCTAGCATTTTGTGCGAGATGCTCGAAGACTATGTCGAAGATTTTTATTTAAAAACATTTTGAAAAATTTATTTTGAAAAGTGTACTTAAAATTGCATTATAGAAAAAATAATAGTATGGCATGGTAATTAAGGGACCGATTACAAAAAAGTTGCGCGGCAGTTAAAATAATAATGATGGATTTGCTTCTTTCTATTATACAATTTCAATGATTTCCCTTTATTACTGTACCTTATAATTTGTGATTTTATTTTATTCGAACTCGCTTCTATTTTCTTTGGATACATTATTGATAAAAATTCCGCTGTCTTGATTATTAGTTAGGAAAAAAGTATAATATTAAAGGTTAAGGTTCATGTCAAGATTTATATTTTACCGTGCTAAAAGAATGTCAAGGTTGATACCTTATTATGCTAAAAGAATGTTTATGTTGATAATTAATCATTTAACATCATTTGAATATTTCTACATATCATTAAATCATTGAATGTTTTTATGGTATTTATGTATGATGTTTGATTGTTTGAATATTGTATACATTGCCAGATTTCTTTTAATTTTCTTCTAATATACGTATATACAACTTTGACACTTATATATTATGACACACGGTATATTTAAATACATTACAATGTGAACGTTTTTTTAAGCATTAATTTATTTTCTTTAAAAGTGTTGAGTGTTTCCTGGCACATCGGCACATTGTGGCCAAGTTCGTCTTGCTCGCTTTTATACTAAAAACACAAATGTTGATATCATTGCTTAACTCAATAAATTTTGAAGCACTTCCGTAAATCAATGACATCATAATTTTCTACTAAATACGTCATTATTTTTCGTTTATATTCACTTTCTCAAGAAGTTAGACCACTTTGATAATCTAAAAATTAGGTAACTTTTGGAATCAGTCAGCAAAACGGCTCCGAGTTGCCATTTTGTCAAAGAAAAATTTAATACGATTTTTTCAAACTATTGTGTTGCGGTATTTCGTCTGAGATACATTTGTCTCGAATGAGGCGGCACATATTAAGCACATCCTTTTCGCATTGCATTTTGCTCCAATCCAAGATGGATGTCTACAAGTGAACGTTAATTTCTCCTTTTAATGAGGTTTTAATTTTACTTGAGAAAGGTACATTTACTTTGTAATTTTTTTTATTCTTAGTTTTTATCATAGTGACATAATGTGAACTCTGATCGTTACTGTTATTTTATATGTTCTTTATAGATCTTTTTAATTTAACTTCTGCACTGTTGTAATGCTTCCAATGTTTTTCACAACTACGATGAGATTTTTAACTTTTGGCTCAACATTTTTCTAAGAGAGGATAACTTTTACAAGAACACAAGTAAAATGCCATTACTGAGTTTATTTTGAAGAATCAAAGAATTACCACATCGTTGCAAGCATTTCAACAAACAACACATATTTACATTACTTTATACATGTATTAAGTTGTTGAAATTCTAGATAATTTGCCGTTTGTAATATTTTAATATTAAAAAATTTTTGTTAACATTGAGAATGGCCCGATCGGCGTCGAAACGTTTTGTAGTAATCTTATATTTATAATTTAAAATCTATTTTTGTTTGTGTATTTCTGGCTCGTAGCTCTTCAGATTATTTTTGATTTAATACAATTTTATTCTTAAAAAATTGTATTATAAGAACCTTAAAATAAACTTTTTATTCCATTGTTTTATAAAAAAAAATTCACAAAGTTATCTATG